GCCAGGTTGAAGGACTCCTCGAACTTCGCCTCGGCCATGCGAATCTCCTCCTGCTCCAGCTGCGAGCCCTTCGTCGCCTTGCGCTTCTTACAGTCAAAGTCCAGACGGCGCCCCTCCAACTTCTTTNTCTTTCGATGGAACTGTGAAACGCAGGAAAAATGTACTAATTAATCAAAAACTTCAAAAACTTAATTGCAGCAAATCCCCCCAGCTTACCATGACATCTTTCAAGTCCTTCGCCTGTAGATGCGTCAGCGGCTCCAGAAAGTTCTGCTTAACGTTGTCCTCGAGGGAGTACTTCACCTCGGAGAGCTCCTTCATCGCTTCGCCCATTTCAATCAGACTGCGGGCTATTATATAGATTGCGAGAATAAAAAAAAGAAAAAGGAAATGCCAAAGGAGACGACGACGACAACAACAACAACAAAAAGAGAAGGAAGAAAAAAGAAAAGGGAGAATGGGAAGGAAATGGTAAATTGAAAGAAACGGGAAAGAGTAGCGCGTAATTAGATTTGGCGCTATAAGATGAAAAGCAAACAAAGTGTGTGTGTGTGTGCTGTACTAAATTGGAATTGAAAAGTGCTTACCGAAATTGGACTCATCGCCCAGCTCCTTGCCGTACTTGCACATGATCTCGCCGAGAACGCCCTCCGGCTGCGGGTACATGTGCGGCTTGCCCGGTGCGCCCTTCAGCTTTGAGCTGACCATCAGCTTGGTGCGTGATGCTGAAAGGTGTGAAAAAATGAATTCATAAATAGAAAAAGGCATTAGAGTGTGCAGTGAACACCTACCCGGATTCGGCTGAAGGTACTCCTTGGTCTTGTTGATCAGCTCATCCACCAGCTCATTAGTCATGTCGGTTTTCTGGTGTTAGAAGGGTGGATAGGAGCAGCATAAACGGTTAGAAGTGGTAGTGGCAACGATTACCCAGCTCAATAAACACTTTATATTCTTTTAGTTGCCAAACAAAACCCGTCATAAAGACACACTTACCCTTTCCAACTGGGTGAACTCATCGGTAAATTTGGTTCCCTCGACGCCGCCAATCTTCTCGCTCATAAACTGTGCGGCGGTAGTAATAACCAACGTGAACATAAAACAAGACAAGAAAAACACAAAAAAAAGTTGGTTAGTCAGTTAATAGTTAATAAAGTACACAAAATTGTGTGCAACCCTTTTCCTTGTGTCCAGAAAAAAAGTACCTGATCACCAAATGCACCCACAGAGAAAGGGGAAACAAGAAAAACTGCCGGCCACATTTTGCCAGCGAATATTTCAACAGAAAAAAAAGAATGACTTGCAGGGAAACGAGCCGACAGCAACAACAAAAAAGTTAAACACAACCCCCGCAATATTCAAATAACTCTAACCAGATACAACAAAACACGCCGACAAAATGCAGATGCAATAAGGGCTAATTCAATTGGTCTCGCTGCATTTAGCGTCGCCGTCCCCGCTACAAGAAACAGCAACAACAGTAGCCCTACTCGTCCCTCACGTACTGAAAAAC